CGCTCTTCCCAGAGCGGCGCCGACCCCCTCCCGGCCCCTCGCTTCAGACCTCAGGCCCACCACCCCAACGCAGCAGATCTACTCCACCGCCCACCCCCGTCGGGCGGAGTCGCGCCTCAAGATCTCTGGTCAGCCCAATGAGAGGTCGTCTTTATTCAGAGTGACGCGTGCGCAGAGCAATCATTGAGTCCGCCCAGCCGGGGGTGGGGCTCAGGAGGCACACAGCGCTTCCTACTCAGGCTGGACCAGCCCAGAGCCACCGACTGCGCGTGCCCGGAACGGGAGGGGGCGGGGCCGAGAGCAGATCTGATCCAAGGGGTGGGGTCCAAGCTCTGTTGCTGGAAAGCGGTCTGGACTAGGAAGGGGAGATTTTGGGAGCCGTCCCGCCCCGCAGATCGCCCTTTACTGCTCGTTTTGGGAGACGGAGGTGCCCAATCCTACGACGCATACCACTCCCGTCGCTGGCAGGGTCTAAGAGTCAGGATACCTGGGTTCTAGCCCCTTCACTTGCATGGACGTGGCGTGATCTTAGCCCCCTTTTTTTTTTATCGAGCCTCGGTTTCCCCTTCCGTAAAACAGAGGATTGGATCTGACGAGCGCTAATATTCCAGGCCGTAATGGGGTGCGGAGGGGTAGATGGGGGACCTACACGTGACCTCCCGCGTGGGTCCCCGCCTATCCCTGGTCCAGGGGATGAAAGCACCCAGCGAGGACGGGAGGGGGTGGGCGGATCCTAAGAAACCGTACCCGGCCGCCCTTGGCAGTAGCTAAGGCGGAGGGCGCGGCTCCGCGGCCGGGTAGCCCTGACTACTGCACCGCAGGAGGATGGCGACCGCAACCCGGGCTTCGCAGGTGGCTACCGTGGAGGCGAGGGCTGCGCAGAGATTCGGCGTGTGACTAGGAGCGCACCTGGAGAGGATGGACGAGGGGGCGGGAAACAGCTAACAGGGATCTCTCTCCGCGCCGAGTCCGCGGAAGCGCACGTCGTGGATTCTGAGCGCCTCTGTAGACCGCAGCGGCAGTGGCTAGCTCCTCTCAGGCCATGAGGAATGCTCGGGCCGCCCGGCCAGGGGACGCCGTCGGGGCTGGCTGTGTCCTGCTGCGCTGAGGGCGTGAGGCTGAGAGGGGCGCAGGCGGCCGGGCTGCGCCGGGGAACAGCGCCATGGCGAAGGAGGAGTGCAAGGCACTACTGGACGCACTCAATAAGGCGACTGCATGCTACCACCACCTGGTACTGACCATCGGCGGCTCCGCGGACTCGCAGAACCTGCGAGAGGAGCTGCAGAAGACGCGCCAGAAGGCGCAAGAGCTGGCGGTGGCCATCCGCGCCCGACTGACAGCTCCGCTGCGCGACCGGGGCCTGGGCGCTGAGGAACGTGCCGAGTTCGAGCGCCTCTGGGTGGCCTTCTCTGGCTGCCTGGACCTGCTGGAAGCGGACATGCGGCGTGCGCTGACCTTGGGCACCGAGTTCCCACTGAATGCGCCGCTGCGGCCGCTCGTGCGTACAGGGGTGGAAGGAGGCGCAGCGAGCGTAGCGGCGCGCGCCCTGAGCGCCTGCAGCCTGCGGCACGAGGCGGAGCGCGGCTTCGACGTGGAAGACCTTCACCAGCTGGAGCGGGAGATCCTTCAGGTGAGCAAGATGATCCACGATATGGAGATGAAGGTCAACGTGCCCCGCTGGACGGTGCAGGCCCGGCAGGAGGCAGGCGCCGAGCTCCTGGCCAGGCCCAGCGCCGGCGTCTCCTCGTTGCGCGGTGTGTCCGTAGAGCAGCACACGGGGCCCTGCGACCTGAGCAAGGCCCTGGCCGCCACCATCTTCAGCGCCGTGTTGCTGGCGGCTGTGGCCTTGGCCGTGTGTGTGGCGAAGCTGAGTTGACCCATACGCGAACGACCTCCGCCGCCACTACTCGCTACCCGGAGACACCCCTCGGAGAACATCTGCAACCGCCAGGACTAGGGATGGGAGTGGGATCTGGCATGTTCAAGGGGAGCGGTTCTAAAACCCAGAGTGTGTATGTGTATGTTTATACGCGCGTTTCAAGCACACATCTGCCTGGGCAGAACATGGCTTCCTCTTGATGGTCCGGGAGGAGTTAATTTTGCGCGGGCCACCGGGTCATTGCCGCTAATGTATGCAGGAGCTTTATCCCCTATTAATAGAAAACCGTTCGTAGTGAGTGGAGATTCCTGCGAGTTAATAGGTTACCGCCTGTGCTGCCGGGGACGTGTTTACACTGAGTCTGAGCTTGGTGTCCCCACCCCTGCCGGTGATTCCCATTCTCCGAGTGGGGCAGTTTGGAAAGAGGGTGAGGTGAAATGAAGTGTGTTTTGGCCGGTGTGTGTGTGGGGGGGGGGGGGGGTTGTGGGTCGTCTTTTTTTTTTTTTTTGCGGTAGGTGGGCCTCTCACTGTTGTGGTCCAGACGTGCAGGCTCAGCGGCCATGGCTCACGTGCCCAGCCGCTGCACGGCATGTGGGATCTTCCCAGACCGGGG